ACCATTATCACATATTAAAAGACCAAGATATATGTATTGTTTAACTATTTCGAGTTGTGTATCGTTTATAAACCATTTGAAATTTATTTGTAGCCTACCACGGTGAAAGATTACTATTTTGGTTTTCTTAGCATTTATTTCTAAATTCCAAATTTTACAAAAATCGACAAATTTATTTAAAAGTATTTGTAAAGCTTCCGGTTGTGTTGCAAAGAGGGCCGTGTCGTCAGCAAAGAGTAGTGAATATATAATGATATTTTCTAAGTGTATAAAATTTGGATTTTCGCTGAATAAAAACTTTCTTAAGTCGTTAATAAATATTAAAAATAAAAGTGGGGATAGTGACTCGCCTTGTTTTACTCCTGAATAACTTGAAAATGTTGAAGATAATAACCCTTTAAACTTTACAATACTGCTCACTTTACTGTACATTGATTTGATTATAGTTACCATTTTAGAACTTACACACACGTGCCAACCATTCAGCAATCCAACCCCCCGTGATAAGTTAGAAAATAAATCGTTAATCAATGGAACCTGTTGTAAGGTGGACACTGCATGCTTTCTTTTAACGTTCTCTGAAGATCTGAAGACAACGGCAGAGGCTAAATACCACGCTTCAAAATACCACGCTTGCCTTACTGCTTTCATAGAAACGAAACGTGGTACGCTGCTTCAGTACCACTTACTATTTAATTATAGGGATTTTACATTATTTAAAGCTAATTTTTCAAAATATGTTGATCATTTAATCAATTTTGATGTTTTTATAGGCTATATTTATACTTTATCTTAAAATAAATTACAATACAGATAGCCGATCGGTCGGTTGATGCATACGGTTAATGATATGGTGTAACCATTATTATACACAATTTAAAAAGACCCTACGTGGTACATTGGAATATTAGATAGGCCTAGATATGAAACAAAACGTGGCAGGTAAAAATTAACGTGGTATAATAAAATATGGGGACGATAAGAAAGAACCATAAGTTGATATTTTAAAAAAAAATGATGTAATAGAATCCGGGGCTGCGATAGCCGTACCACGCTTACTTGTGTTATAGATACAAACGAAACATGGTACACGACTTCAGTACCACGTTTTTTTTTATTTATTTGTTTGTGGACACTCTACAGGTCGCAATTCTTATCTGATTTGACAAAACATGAAATATAGGTTTATCTCCAAAAGATCTCGGCTGCTTTCGATATTCGCGCACATCGGACCATAACTTCCTGAATTATGGCCCCTAATTGTACGAAAAATCGCGTTTTTAGCTTGTGGACCCTATAGAGGTCATAATTTTTATCCGATTTTAAATACCATATTATTATATCACCGTTACACCCTAAGGATGGCTGAGTTTGAATGGCCGCCGTTCGTTCTCAAATAGTGTAAAAATATGGTATATCAAGGTTGTGGACCCTATAGAGGTCACAATTTTTATCCGATTTTGTTGAAACTTGAAATGTAAGTTTATAACCCAAAGATCTCGGTTCCTTTCGATATTTGCGCATATCAGATCGTAACTTCATGAATTATGGCCCCTGATTTTACGAAAAATCGCGTTTTTAGCTTGAGGACCCTATAGAGGTCATAATTTTTATCCGATTTAAAAAGCCGTATTATTATATCACTGTTACACCCTAAGGCCGGCTGAGTTCGAATTTCGTGAAAATCGGCCCAAAATTGACAGACAAAATGGCCGCCGTTCGTTCTCAAATAGCGTAAAAATATGGTATATCAAGGTTGTGGTCCCTATAGAGGTCACAATTTTTATCCGATTGTGTTGAAACTTAAAATGTAAGTTTATAACCCAAAGATCCCAGTTCCTTGCGATTTTCGCGCATATAGGATCGTAACTTCCTGAATTATGGCCCCTGATTGTACGAAAAATCGCGTTTTTAGCTTTTGAACCCTATAAAAGGTCATAATTTTTATCCGATTTAAAAAAAACATATTATTATATCACCGTTACACCATGAGGACGGCTGAGTTCGAATTTCGTGAAAATCGACCCCAAACTGACAAACAAAATGGCCGCCCTTCGTTCTCAAATAGCGTAAAAATATGGTATATCAAGGTTGTGGATCCTATGGAGGTCACAATTTTTATCCGATTTTGTTGAAACTTGAAATGTAAGTTTATAACACAAAGATCTTGGTTCCTTTCGATATTTGCGCATATCGAATTGTAATTTCCTGAATTATGGCCCTTGATTGTAGGAAAAATCACTTTCTTTTTAGCTTGTTCTCTATCCATCTCTCGAAAATGTGGTCGTATCCTGCCTGGCAGCCGCTGGTTTTTATTTATAGGCACTTTACATTATTTGTAGCAAAATTTGCAATTTGTGTTGATTATTTATCCCATTATGATGTTTTTATATGCCATATTTACACTTTATGTTAAAATTAATTACAATACAGATAACCGATCGGTCGGTTAATGGATCATACAGTTAATAATACTGTGTAAAAGTTATTATATTATAGTATACAGGTCACAATTCTATGGAATACAATTACTGCTTTTTCTCAGTAAAAAGCAGTAATTGTATTCCATAGAATTGTGACCTGTATACTATAGTTCAATTACTAAATGCCATTGAAACAGTTTATTATATTATACCCTGCTTAAAAAGACCTTATGTGATATATTGGAAATGAAATGAAATGGGGTTTAACGTCCTACTGTTCTGCTCCGACTTGGCTAATGAAGACTGGCATACGTAATGCAGTGTTCTGTGAGGGAAATGTTGCCCGGGCAGCGGCACTATGGCCTACTCTTATATCGAATTCCAACTGCCAAGGGATCTTTTACGTGCACGCCAATGTATACACGGGACCTCTGTTTTTCGTCCCATCCGAATGTATAAATAAAATATTAAAAATTCATGTAATACCGGTTTTTTAAATTTGTGGGATGAAACGACCCAATAAAAGTGGGATGAAAGGACCCATGTAAATTTGGGATGAAACAGCCCGAGATGAACCGGTAGGGGGATGAAACGACCTGATCCCGGTGTTTATTAGGTCAATGCCTGGGTGGTGTTCGAGGATGAGCATTTTCCGCTTAGTGTAAGCAGAGATAAGCAATTTGATTGGTTGATGCTTTGGGACACGATAACTTTAGTTCTAATTAAGTGATAGTGATGAAACTTGATGTATAGTTTCATTACATCAATACCTTGACTAAGTTCGATAATGAGTATTTTCTGCTCAGGGTAAGTAGATTGATAAGCAATTTGATTGGCCAAGATTTTGGAACACAATAACTCTCCTTCTAAGTGAGCTAGATTGTTCAAACTAGGTGTAGGTTTTTTTTTGGTCAATGCCTTGATGGAGTTCGAAGATGAGCATTTTCTGCTTAGGGTAAGCAGAGATAAGCAATTTGATTGGTTGATGCTTTGGGACACGAAAACATTAGTTCTAATTAAGTGAGAGTGAGGACACTTGGTGTATAGCTTTATTACATCAATACCTTGATTAAGTTCGATAATGAAAATTTTCTGACGAGAGTAAGCAGAGCAATAAGCAATTTGATTGGTCGAGACTTTGGAACACAACAACTCTCCTTCTAATTGAGGTAGAATGTTCAAACTTAGTGTAGGCGTTCATTAGGTGAATGCCTTGATGGAGTTCGAAGATGAGCATTTTCTGCTTAGGGTAATGAGCGATAAGCAATTTGATTGGTCAAGAATTTGGAACATAAAAACTCTGCTTTTAATTGAGGTAGAATGTTTAAACCTGATGTAGATGTTCATTAGGTGAATGTCTTTACTGATTTCAATGATTAACATTTCAAGCTAAAGTTAAGCAGAGCTAATCAATTTCATTGGTCGATGCTTTGGGACAAGATAATCTTGAATCTATCCGATAGAGAGTGATGAAACTTCGATACTTTTGAAAAAAATAAATGTGCGATTAATTAATATGTGTCATCTATTTATTTGGGGATTTCGGCGGGGGACATCAGCTCACTGTTGGCTTGTTTAGCTTGTTCTCTATCCATCTCTTGCAAAATGTGGGCGTATCCTGCCTGGCAGCCGCTGGTTTAATAATATGTTTTTTCAAATCAGGTATTGGGGTCATCGAGAGAATGAAGCTTATCGATTTTCAGCTTTCCACAACTTTCTATTCATTAGTAATCCATCCTTTGTCAATGCGATGTGAATGCGATAAAAGCTACGTTTTTTTTAATTTGGATTGAAGCAATGGGGTTAGGAGAGAACGAAGTCCTACGAATCCTATCGATATTGAGCTTTCTGCTACTTTTTTTTTCAGAGTTATCCCCCTTTTGGTGAAAACCTTGTCATCGGATTTTAACGAATGTTTGGTAAAATTTGGTGTGAAGCATTTTCCGACTTTTTGTTGCCGGAGTTATGCCCCCTATTTCTTCCAAAACTTTGTGAACGCATTAAAGGCTATAGTTTTTAATTGATCTTTTTCATATTTGACTTGAAGCATTGAGGTCATCGATCCCTACCTATCCTGAGTTATCCCCCCTTTGCCGAAAACCTTGTGAACCCAATAGAGACTATACTAGATTTTTATATGCCCACGTGGAAATGTGGTTGTATATTGCCGTTGCCCCGTCCGTCCTCCATAATCTCTTGTGAACACTCTTCGTATATGTTGTTTACATTATTAAGATTAAGAAGACTATATATTTTAACAATTTCCGTTAATTACTTCTGGATTTTACAGATTTGGCATATTTAAAATCTGAGTAACCTATCAATTATTTACTGCTATTGTCATATAAACCTTGTAATCGTAGTTTTCGAGACCTTTTTTTCAAACTTGCTGGAATTCTGGAAAAAATGTTTTCAAAATATTGAAAAATTGGTGACAACTTTTGCAGATAGTGCCCAAGCTGCAATTGACTGTATGGTTACATATATGCTTATTAAAAAAGGGGTGCCTCTTTAACAGTATCTTGTTGTATTTTACAGTCCTTAATTCCATTAATATTATTATTGTATATTTTTCAGACGTATGTGAATGAAAGTAGTAAGAAATTTAATGAAATGACAAAGAAATATGGAGAAGGGGAATGTGAACCTGCCCATGTTTAAGATGCAATAATTTAACTTTGCTCAAAATTACAAATCATTTTATCATATCATACTTAATATTTTCCTCATCTGATAATGTGTACATTTACAAATAGATAGATTGGCCTATATTTTGTACGCTTTGTAATATTGTGATAAATGGCATAATAAGAATATAAGTGTACCATTTCATGATATACATGTATTTCTTTCACTCTCAAAATTTTAAATATATTACAAATTAGAAAATATATATTCAACTTAACGCTAAAATATTTTTGTTAACAAAAACATCATGTCTTGATGAGGTACAAGGTCAATAAATGGATGAGCTATATCAACTTGTGAAAGATACTCTTGCTCCTCTTATACCAGTGGCAGAAACTGGGTCCTGTTTCGCAAAAAATAGATTTTAACTAAAATTAAAACCGAATTTTAAATTATATACATTTTACGGAAATTCGATTGTAACTTAAAATGGAATTTTAATAGATTTCAGTTAAAATTGCTTTCACCTGGGTTGTGTCGTTTTTCAGTAACGGGCATACGGGTGTGAAGAGATCTCTTAGTCTCCGTCTGTCTCAAAAGACAATGGACTGCGCCTGGAATGTCAATTCCTTGATGTGGAACAGCGTTGACTGTGACTGTGGCGTCCAATTCTCGAATGGCAGTCTCTGTCACATTTGCTGCAGCTGTATTATGTTGGTATTATTAGGTGTGTTGAGGCTGTTTGCAATCACTGCCGCTCCCTCCTGTTATGCCACTGCTGCTCCCTCTTTGCCTCCACTCTCTCCACCCCCCTGCACACCACTTGATGCCAGTTGCTGCTATCGGCCACGACTGCTTCCCATGTGCCTGGAATGATGTCAGCAGACCTCATGTCTCTTTTGCAGTCATCCTTGTAGGGCAGCTTGGGCGGCTAACTGGTCTGGAGCCTGATGTGTGCTCGCCATAGAGAACATCCTTCAGCAGGCGACCATCCTCCATGCGCCTCACGTGTCCAAGCCAACGTAGGCGTCACTGAGGGAGCATGGCGATGATCATGCTTTGGATGTTGGGGAAATGAAGACGGGCATACACCATACAGTGTGCTATGAGGGGAAAGTTTGCCCGGACAGCGGCACTACGGCCTACTCTTATATCGAATTCCAACTGTCAAGGGATCTTTTACGTGCACGCCAATGTGTACACGGGACCTCGGTTTTTCATCTCATCCGAATGACTAGACAGCTGTCCTTGTCAGGCCCTCCGTACTGCATCACTGACAAGGGGGAACCACGCCGGAAAATCTGGATGAACTTTCTCGGCCAATGCAGGGATCGAACACCCGACATCCAGGCTAGCGAGCCAGCGCCTTACCCACTTAGCCACCGTGATACCCTCAGTCTGGTGAGTTTGGTGTCGATGATGGTTGTTTTCCTTGATTCGTCAATCTGACGCAGGCTGTAGTTTCTTCTTCTTACTTTCTGTTTTTGTTTTGCTTGGTTCGATGTTGCGATCTGCTTTTCGAGCTTTACTCTAAGCTCCAGGCAACCACTGAAGCAGACGGACCATGGCGGGTCAGCGCCTTACTAACGCTTGAGGCTGCTCGGCTTGAGGCGGGCGGTAGCTGACCACTGGGATACGAAGATCCCTCCCACTGTCGGAGACAACCCATAGCGCCCTGACCTTCGCCAATTGGTCTGGGCTTATCACTCATAACTGCTGTCCCCCGTGTTGTTTCTGACGCTGTGAACAGTGACACTGAAGTGACTTCTCCAGGGCACATACCTGGGCGAGGTGTATGGAGATCCTGGGGTGCCCAGTCGTCAGGATCACCCTCTCGGCCTCAACAATGTTGTCCAAAGGAAAGCAGAGCAATACATTTGGCATCGCTTTGGCTGCAGGAACTGCCAGAAAGAAGTCGGAAGTCGGCTATCCATCCGCCTTAGGGTTCCACTCCGGATTTTCCCTCAGGGTTGACTCCCGAAGCTTTTCCCATGGGTGGGTATGGCCGCAAGGCAGCGGAGGTTTGAAATCAGGGTTTCCTTCCCCTAGGTGAGCTGCCTTCCTAAGTTCCTAGGCTGACGAGCCCCATCTTCCAAAAGCAACTGGTTTTAAGGCGCCAGTGGCCCCTTCTCCTGTCAGTAAAAACAGTTTCGCCAGGCTTAGAGGCTAAGCCACACAGGAAGGTCAGGAGTTGGACTATTAGTTGACAGAGGCTGTTGGAGACGCACGCCATGGGGGCACTTTATAGATAGTGGGAGCTTATCCCCACTACCACCCCCGGCTATGACAACCTTGAAACCAAGATACGGAACTGAAAACTGTTTACAGGTTGAACTGGGAGATTTTTATGCATTTTCGCCATGTTTGCACAAGGTCTGACAGTTGTAGAGATGAAATAAATTATTGGAATGAGTTTATTGCATTTTGTTCAATTAGAAACATATCTTTGGGTTAGCCTTGAACTTTTGTCGCTTTCATGACCTTGGCATTTGATTTACTAGCTGTCTTCAATGGTAATAATGCGTATCGACGAATGAAATTGCTTGAATTTCGTAGTTTTATGGTATTTTTGATAACAAAGACTATTGAGAATTGTCACTTAGTTACAAACATATGATATTTATGGGTGTGTTTCGGGAATTTATAAAACATGATTAATATTTTTAAAAGGTGAATAAACGGAACTGAGCGATGTAAGGTGCGACTCAAACGACTGCAATTGTGACATTTTACAAGTTAATCAGGTGGTAAATTATTGTCGAATTTTAAAAGTATTGTTAAAACAGCTTTAAAATTAATCCACCAAATGACCATTGTTCTGATGCCTAGATTTGAAATGTAATCCCCATTAACCCTTTCAAGGCTCCTTCGAAAATGCCAAAGTGCCACATTCCTTATCAGATAAGACCTATGTATCTTATTCAATTATAATGATTTTTTCCCCAAGAAAAAATACTGTGTGCTTCTCTGATTTTATCTTATGTTATTAACGCCAATAACATTTTTCAATAAACAGATGTGAGCTTACTGATTTATCTTTTTACAAATAATCATAACCCAGGGCCATTTTAAACCAGGACAGTTTTTTTAGTATATGAGTGCTCTCCTGCCATGACATAAGGTATGAAGTGAGTTCAGATTGTTTTGTTGGTTTTTTTTTGGGGGGGGGGGGGGGGCTGTTCATGATTTAAAAACATTTATCATTTTAAACCAGGATGATATTTTTTTTTGTATATGAGTGCTCTTCTTTCCATGACATTAGGTATAAAGTGAGTTCAGATTGATTTACTTTAAGGGACTTTGGGGGTGGGAAGGGGCCTGTTAATTATTTAAAAATAGTATAATTTATAATTTTAAACCAGGACAATATTTTTTTTTGTATATGAGTGCTCTTCTTTCCATGACATTAGGTATGAAGTGAGTTCAGATTTACTTCTAAAAGTACTTTGGGAAGGAAGCTGTTTTTTATTTAAAAAATAGTATAATTTATAATTTTAAACCAGGACGATATTATTTTTTTGTATATGAGTGATCTTCTTTCGATGACATTAGGTATGAAGTGAGTTCAGATTTACTTTTAAGGGTATTTTGGGGTGGGGGCTTTTAATTATTTAAAGATAGTATAATTTATACTTAAATCATATGGTAATATATAAAACAGTAACAAAGGCTTTTGTTTGCTGGGCTTTTTAGTAGGGGTTTGTCTTGGGGGTTCTAATTTGGGGCGTCATCTGTTTTTGTGAGTAATGGTATGGTAAAATTGTGTGACCCATTAGCTAGAATATTAGCCCCAATCAATGTTTGTTAATGTTGTGATCTTAAGTTAGGAGAGGGAGACGGCTCTACTAAGTGAAAATTAATATTAGTTAAAATGGTCGCTAGAATAGTTTTGTGAAACACCACTATCTTATGCTGAGATAAAATTTTAACTTAAATATTATATTAGTGAATTTTAGCTAAAATGCTAAAATCATCTTTTAGATGCATTTAGTAACTGGACTAAAGTTCAATGCGTAAAATCGTTTTGTGAAATTCATGTATCTTAAGTTAGGATGAAATTTTATTTTAAGACGATTTTAATGAGATTTAAGTTTTTGTGAAACGGGGCCCAAGTCTGCAATTGTTATTTATTGTTATATACACCCACATCCTGTCAACAGATTCAGCCAGTGTAATTGACACATCATCAAGCTCCATAGGCAGCCCTGCAGCAACATCTTCTCCCAAGCCAACATCAACCAAGCAGGTAAACCACCCCAAAAAAGGGATACGTATGCTTATAGCGAACTTCCAAAGCATTCGAAATAAAGCTCCAGAACTAACTGTACTGATTGTGACATCAAAGCCAGAAATCATAATAGGCACCGAGACCTGGACAAACAAAGATATGCTCTCATCAGAATTTTTTCCATCAAATTACTTGGTGTATCGGAGAGACAGAGGCACAGATAACTTTGGAGGCGTTTTGGTAGCAGTTACCAACACGCTCACCTCAACCGAGATCCTCAACAGCAAGACCGTGGAGTTACTGGTAGTGAAGATCGACCTGCCGAATAAAAGATCTCTCCTTGTGTCGTCATTCTACAGACCCCCAAGATCAGATGAGCAATACATCTCCAATTACATTTCCGACATCAGGGAACTACGAACTAAACATCATAATGCCATCTTCCATATTGGAGGTGATTATAATCTCCCAGACATACAATGGCCAGACGGGATCATCAACGGCAACTCCTACCCACACAAGTATAGTGAGGAAATCATAGGAGGCAGCGAGGACCTAGGACTGGAGCAAATGGTACAATGCCCGACAAGAGGTGACAACACGCTTGACCTACTGTTCACGACACACCCATTAGTGGAGAAGATTAAACCATTACCATCAATAGGGAAGAGTGATCATGATATTGTCCTCTGTGATACCGACATCAAGCCTACAAGATCCAAGAGCCCACGGAGGAAGGTGATCCTGTGGAAGAACGCGGACGTGGAGACCATCAAGGAGAACTTACAGAACTTCAGCATAGAGTTTGACTCGCAGCACAGAGACAAGGACGTAAATCGTATGTGGTCAAGCTTCAGATCAAAAATTGAACAGCTAATCTCGGCTCACATACCATCCAAGATGACGGCTACCAAACAATCGCATCCATGGATGAACAGAAACCTCAACCGATTAACCAGACGCAAAAAACGAGCGTACAAGAGAGCCAGAAGAAACAACACAAATAGGGAATGGATACGGTACAACACCCTTAAGGCAAAACCCCAAAGAGATATCCGACGAGCACACGACTCCTACCTTCAAGATATCATCAGTGGAGACATGAGACTCAACTCAAAACGATTCTGGGCTTACATAAAACACAAGAGGCAAGACTCAAACAGTGTAGCTCCCCTTAAGAACAACGACGGCCTACTATACAGCGAATCTGACATCAAAGCTGAAATCCTGAACAGGCAATTCCACTCTGTCTATACAAAGAAGAACACGACAAGCATCCCAGAGAAGGACCCCAGT